AGTATAGTAAAATACCCGGTAAAAAAATTTCACAATAGATCAGATTTTTTTCTGACTGTAAGTAACTTTGTTCGGGTTAAATCACTAAACCAAAATGTTTCAAAAAAAGCCATTGCCACACTTGTTGACGACTGCAGAGAAGTTGTCTTTTAATCGCATGTACAGATGTTTTAATAAAACAGTGAAGCTGGACTGATGCTTTAGAGGATTTATAAAATTAACACTTTAACACTAATAAATGAGCATAAACAATGAAAAAAAGAGAAACACTTTTCGTTGCTGGGTTGAACGCACCCAAACTTCAAAAGACAGTTTTCTAACTCATCACTGAAGTGTAAACTGGCTCAAATCACAGAACAGAAAGTGAGGGAGATTCGCACAGCCGAGACAACCGCCTCGGTCGGCGGTAAGTTGACAATTCATCGGTGCGCAATGTGCGACAGTCTGCCTGACGATCAGAGCCAAAAAGGATCACCTCAGTGGAGCTATAATTGCACAGTTCGAGTAGTACTCTTGCCGTCGAACCACCAAACCGGGCTGAAGTTTTCGGTCTCCAACGAGTGGTGGCTGGTGGCTGGTGACTGTGGCTGAGCTGCGCTTAAACGGTCCACAAGTGACTGCTAGACCAAGTTGGCCATGCTTCGCTGAAGTCAGGCCAGCCAGCCAGTCAGGTGAGCTTGAACTTGGAAGACTAGCTTTGGACCGCAAACTAATCCATTCTGTCTTTTAGATTTTTAAGGCGGACACTAACTCGATTTTATTGAATTAGTTATCAAATTCTAAATTAAACAAATTCTTCAGAAATCGTATCATTTACAAATTAAAATTATTTGCCAAATTCATGCCCTTTACTTGACTCGTGTTTTGATTACTTTTTGAGAGAAATGTTTTAACGATCACTCGGACAATTATGCCAAGTGTTGTCCGGTCAAATTAAACTGTTTTTTCTTTTAGCCCGTTGACCATTTAATAACTCACTTTTATATTTGACTATTTTCCATCACCGATTTTCTCTTCTGTCTGTTTTCAGACTCTAACCTTTTTTGCCGTATTCTACGGTTGGTCAATCATGCAGTGTCAAGGATCTTTTCGTTTTTTTCTCAGACGTACGAGAAAAGTCCTTTCTTGGCGTGAAAACAAAAATCAATTGAGATCATTCTTTCTTTTCTAGTTGGTTCTTAAAATGTTTGCGCAGTTTATCGATAGTGAAAAGGAAAAACGGATTTTCCTTTCTCAAGTCTCTTTTCTGTGTATACTTTTCAGTTTTACGCTTTACTTATAATTGAAGAATCGGTTTAGGTTTATAAATACAAATTGCAAATGAAGATGCTCATTCACAAACTACAACATTTGAAACTGGTTCTAAAGTTTATGCATAAAAAAGTTGATTTACATGATGAAAAATGGCACGCAATGAAGTGAGAATTGGTGAAAAGCCCAAAGGTTGGCGAGTTTAGTTGGCTGTTGTCAATAACCCTGATTTTTACGGAAAGTCTTCGTTTTTGAAGAAATCTTCCGACTCATTGTCGCCGTCCATTTGCCGTCTGGCCGCAGAGCCATCATACCTCGGTAAATTAACTCCTTTGATCATATCTGCGGCCTTCTCCGCAATCATGATCGCCGGAGCATTGGTGTTTCCGGAAACTATTTTTGGCATAACTGAGCAGTCAACAACACGAAGTCCCTTGACGCCACCGAGGACTCGCAGTTCGGGGTCAACGACGGCAGTCGGGTCCCACGGGGCACCCATCTTGGCAGTGCCCACAGGGTGGTACAGAGTGGAGGTCATTGTTCGAGCAACGCAGGCCAGGTACCGGTCACTCCACACTCGATAGTGCTCACAACCAGGCCAGATGGTTTCAAAAAGGCGAGCCTTCATGGTCTGATATGCTGGCGTCAGACCGACGGCGATTGAGACCTTCATTGCGTCGACCATGGTTTTGATATCGTCCGGGTGACTAAAGTATTTTGGATCAATGATCGGGTGGTCGTAGGGGTTTGAAGAGCGCAATTTGATGTAGCCGGTTGATTTGGGTCGCAGCATGACTGGGTAGAGGCTGAAGGTGTCGAATTTTATGTACGGTTTGAAGACCTGCTGCCAAAGTTGTTCGGTGAAGCCATAGACTCTGCGGAAGGTTTGACCGTCATCTGAGGAAGGACCACCACTGATAAGATGAATCTCAAAGTCCGGCCAGTCGTCGGATTTGTTGGCGTATTTGGTGTTTATAAAGGCCAACCCCTCTACACCGCCTAAAATAGAAAAAGGGCCTGCAAGAAAGCGTTGTAAAAACGGTGTTTCAGCATAAATTGACTAGCTTACCTCTTCCAAAAGCAAAGTACTTGATCACATTTGGAATGGACGTAATTCTTCGCTGCATCATAGAGTACTTCTTATTAATTGTAAAGTGCACCCCGCCTGGATAAATGTGATCCTGCAGATTGTATCCGACCGGCAGATCGGCAATCACCGGTATTCCATTCATTTCCAGCTCATCACGAGGCCCCACACCGGAGAGCATCAACAGCTGAGGAGTGTTTATTGCACCGCCCGAGAGGATGATTTCCTTGCGCGCGTACACCTGATGGCTTAGCTGAAAGCGGTCAAACTGAACAGCAACGGCACGCTTAAACTCATTGAAGACGACTTTGGTCACATAGGCAAAGGTAATGACGTGCAGGTTTGCCCGGTCCTTGGCAGAGGAGAGGAAGGCTTTCGAGGTTGAGCAGCGAGCACCATTGCGAAGGGTCGCTTGGGGAATGGAGAAGCCAGTCTGCGTGGGACCATTGTAGTCGATGTTAGCGTAGCCCAGTTGTTTGCCAGCCTCGGTAAAAGCCAGCGAAATGGGCGTCGAATCGGGCGGATTGGAGACGGTGAGCAGACCACCCGTCCCATGGTAGCCATTGGCTGCCACAGCCGGGTCTTGGTTGTCTTCCGACTTGATGAAGTAGGGAAGTACATCCTGCCAGCTCCAGCCGTAGGCGCCATTTTCAGCCCACAAGTCGTAGTCACGCTTGTTGCCTCGCACGTAGAGCATGTAGTTAAGCACTGAAGATCCGCCGAGAACTTTGCCTCGAGGCCAATTGCTTTGCTGACCTTTCAAGCCAAAACAAGACAGCTCCTGCGGTTCAGTCTTGTATCCCCAATCAACGGGCGTCAGTTGCAGTGTGGCAGCAGCTATGGGAATGTCGGAGAATATATTCTCCGAGCCGCCTGCTTCGAGGAGAAGCACCTTTATGGCCGGGTCTTCAGACAGGCGATTCGCCAGTACAGCTCCAGCAGAGCCGGCTCCAACTGAAAAAAGGGAAATACGCGATATTGTTTTGAAAGTGAATGTTTTTGTCAAGTCAACACCTACCGACAATGTAATCATACTCTTGGTCCCATTTGTCGCGTGAAATCTGTATGTAGTCGGCTGCCTTGAGCCAAAGCAGTGTCGCCAAGGGTACTAAAGCAGCCAGTGGCGCCGTGTTGACCATGATGACAATCAAATTGGAAATCACAGTTTACAATCACAAAATGTTGATTATATTTAGCACATTTTTGCAGTTTTACATGAACACTTTTTGTTGGGGAGTAAGAAGTATATTTTAAATCACCAAAAGTCGTTTAAAATTAGCACTAAAAAGATTTTGAAAACAATTATTGATACTTTAAGCCATTCTCAATTTGGAGACACATTCAATGTAAACTGTTTGGTATTCTTCATCTGTTGCACTTTTCACAGGGTCTGGTGTCCATCGAACAAAAAGTCAGGTTCACATTGTATTTAAAACTCAC